AGGTATTGTCCTCACAGTCCACGCTGAGTAGGACAGGATGTTTCAGGTGTCTGAACTTGTGTTTCCAAAGTGAAAAGTGTTTATCATTCATGAAGTTTTTTGGTTACTGATATAATACTGTTGTCAGTTTGCTGTGAAATTCACTGTTTGAATTTAATTCAATGTTAAGAAATGAATGGTTACTAATAAACATGTCACACAATAGTATTTATTGACTTATCTGAGTGTATATACCTTCAATATTTGAGGTGAGGAGCTTACATTAACTTCCTTACATAATCCAGTTTACCCTTACAAATATTGAATGTCTGTATTTACATGGTCTTCATTTTGTAATAGGATAGCCAGAATGTTTCTCCTGTTGGCAGCTTGTCTCCTTCATGCCACATTGTGTGCATGAACCAATGACAAAAATGACATATTGTGATATTTATGTGTCTTACCACCTCAGATGTTCCTGCTTTTCTGACTGTACGATGCATGTGCCACATGTGGACAAGCTGCTGCAGTTACAGGGCCTGTGCTGGCTCTCTTATTACATATTATTCATAGCTGTGTAAAAATTAAACCTGAATGCTTAAAAAGTATACTACAATGTTAATAGTATATTTCATAATGTAATGAAATAAATTACTACTAATATTAGCATGCTAATCATATTTCAACCACAGGTGTTATGTATAAATGACAGATGACAGATTGTTGACTTTTTCTTTTAATTATGTTTTTTTTTTTTACATGGTCGATAATCAAAGTCAGAGTAAAACACACAAACAAACTACCAATGAACAAGTTGATGAAAAGGCACCCAGTTTGATTAAAGCAGAATTACAAGAATGATGGAACGCAGCCTTCGCCAGATGAATGAGATCAGAACTCAAGAATGAAACATTACCAAGAAAACACACTAGAACAAAGAAACACAGGTATAGGAAATACAAAATAAAAACACTAGAAACTAAGCTAGGAGACAAACTGAAAATACAAACTACATAAGACCAAATCATGACAATACGTTGTTTTTAAGAGAGAGCCTCGTAGTTTAATTATTTCAAACTGATTGTATTTAATGAATTCATGTTTAAAATAACTTCAACAAAACATAAACTGAGAAGAAGACGAGCTTTTTATGGCTCATTAATTATTCATCATTAATGGATCATTGATTGTTAAGGTGTTCAAATATCGCTTAAGAAAAATGAGTGAAATTTGATTCTAATCATCAAGATGTTTTTTTAAATCTACAGTCACAGAGATTCAGTGGTTAAGTCCTCAGTGGGAGTTCTTCTCTCAGTTCTGATGCATGCAAACTGTTTCTCAGTGAAAGTGTGTGTTGGTGTCAGACTCACTGTGATCCTCTGCAGCCTCTTCTTCACTCAGAGAACAGGGACAGACTCTACCCCCACAGTGTCCCAGCTGTGAGTCCCTGAGTTACACCAAACAGATCTGAGCTCTGTCATAAAGACAACCAGAGACATCAGGACGACACAGTCACAGAGATCTTCTCTGGTAACATCTTCAGTGGGAGTTTATCACCAGTGTAATGTATGGAAACATCCTCTCAGTGAAAGTGTGTGTGAAGGTGTGTATGTGTGTGTTAGTATCAGGATCAGAGAAGGACAGCTCTCCTCTGTTACAGTCCAGATTCACTCTGATCCTCTGAAGCTTCTTCTTCACTGAGAGATCAGTGGATGGATGGGTGGGTGTGCTCTGTATTTACCATCATAGAACCATATTGAACCATAATCCAGACTCTTTCTTCCCTTCCTCTGTCCAGACTCTGCTAACACACCCAGTCCAGATGTACTGTCTCCAACCTGGACGTCCCAGCTGTGAGTCCCTGAGTTAAAGCCCTCAGAGCCCAGGACAGAGCAGTAAGTATCAAACCTCTCTGGATTATCAGGAAGCTGCTGTCTCTCTCCTCGTGTCACACAGGTCAGATCTTCAGACAGGATGAGACTGGATGAGCAGTGTTTGGGTCCAGAATGACCGGACTGTAGGAGACCATGTCCTTCATCTTGTTCCAGATGTTGAAGCTCAGGTTGCCCAGGTGTTTGGCCTGGTCTATCAGAGCTCCTGAGGGCAGCTGTGGATCCTCCAGCAGGGGGCGCTGCTGGACTCTTTCCACTGCAGCCTTGTAGTTTTTCAGGAATGAGACGTCTTCAGCTCTCAGCTCGTCCTCTGTGTCTCTGACTGTGTGTGAAAGAGCTGCTATCTCTCTGCTCAGAGCCTCCATCTCCTCCTTCATCCTCTGACTCTTCTGCTCCTCTTCCTCCCTCAGTGCACACAGCCTGGCCTCCTCTTCCTCTTCTAGAAACTGGTGAAGCTTCTTAAACTGCTCCTTAATCTGCCTCTCTGTGTGTCGGGCCTGGACCTGAATGTGTTCTGCTGTTTGATCAAACTTCACTTTAACTTCTTTAAAAACATTTAACTTCTTCTTTACCGGCTCCAGAGTTTCCTGAAGTTTCTTCTTGTGTTGTCCAGCAGCTTCATCGATGGGTCTGAATCTGTGATCAGAGTGTTTTTCTGAATCTCTGCAGACGAGACACACCGGCTCCTGATGGTCCAGACAGAAGAGTTTGAGTTTCTCAGAGTGCAGACTGCAGAGATCCTCTGAAGCTCTCTGATCTCTCTCCTGCACAAAACTCTCACACAGGTTCTTTAAAGTAAAGTTAGGATGTAAGAAATCATTTGACTGTCTCCTCTTACAAACCGGACACTCCTTGTTTTCCTTCTCCTTCCAAGAGTCCTTCACACACTCTCTACAGAAGCTGTGACAGCAGGACAGGATGACTGGATCTTTAAAGATGTTGAGGCAGACCGGACAGCTCAGATCTTCCTCTAACTTGGACGCCATTTTATCTCAACTGAAGACGAGGAGACGAACAGCTGGGAGTCACTCCCTGTCACTCAAAGTTCCTTTAATCTGTATTCTTTGTTCTTTTTTTTTTACTCTTATCCGGTTTGTGGATTCAGTTTCAGGTAAAAGTCCAGATTAGTGAGGTTACGTTTGACACCGAGGCTTTGAAGCGTGTGTCGAGTAGGAGGCACATTTCTTTCTTTCCTCACTTCGAGTCTACGTCATTGATCTGTTTGTGTTTCGGTTTTGGATAAGAGGAAGTGAAACCCACTTGTCATGTCTCCTCGTGAGTTTGCGTTAGTTGGTTGTTGGGAGTTGTAGTTTTGGTTCTCTTTTTTTGGAGAAATGGAGCCTGTGAGAAAGAGGAAAACGTCTCCTGTTCGGGAGCATTTTGAGTTATAATCTCCCAATAAAGTAAACGTTAAAACCAGGCGCGGAGCCTGTGGGTCATTGCAGAGGGGGGGACCAATAGTGGGCCCATAAACTGTCTATAGGCTATATAGCATATGCTGTAGCCTATATAGTAATATAGTATATCATTTATGGTATAATATCGGCTGTATGGAGATACAAGACGGGGCGGGACGAAGAGAAATGCCGCTGCAGATTACAAAGGGTGTTATTACAGTGACAGGGACTTATCAGTGAGTGACCTGCTGATGTTTAAACAGAACAAGTGCTGATATGTCTGTGCGCATATTCCACCGATTAAACAAGTAAAGCAGACTTCATTAACCGGACGGGAAACCAAAGATAGAAGGCAACTACAGTTTAACATTCAGGGAAGTTGGACGCTCACCTATGGAGGACTAAAAGTGCCAAAATGAAATATATAAATATATAATTAATTAAATCATTAAATGTGTCATCAATTATTTAATATTGGAAATAAATCAACAAATATGTAAATAAATATATAATTATTTAATTAATTAAATGCATGTGTTATTAAATAATTAAATAATTATTTAAATGTGTCATTAATTATTTAAAATTGGTAATATAGAAATAAATAAATAATTTATGAAACACATCATTAATTAATGAAATGTTTAATTAATTATTTAAAATGTTAATTCATTTAATGTAAAACCACATTTAATTATTTTACTATTTATTTAATTATTTCACTATTTACTTTATCATTTCATGGTCCCTACACCAGCAGTGCATCATGAAATCATTTCATCTGTCACTGCTGCTCGTCAAAGTTTCTAACATCTGATTGGTTACTCAGCAAAGCAAGTCATGACAGATCGATCCCAGATAATGGATTGAAGCAGTGAATGCACTCCGATACGTTAGGTGACAGTGTTCATCCGTATATTCGTTTCGGTACGCTCTTCATTTGTCGCCGAAAAAATAGTTGCTGATGATACAAGTGAAGACGGATCAATCAGCTCACCATTGGTGCAAAGTGTTAGTGCAGGATGTCCAAAAGCTCTCCGGAGCACAGGTACAGCAGATACCTGTCGCTACACCACGTACACCTGTTCAAGGTAGGTAAGGATAGCCAGATGTGCTTCTAAACGAAGCTAGCTAGTCGGCAGAATGGTGTTAGCATGTCAGCAGCCCTGAAGTTGGACTTTTATCACTTCTTTCTTTTTAGTTGTTGTTTGCTTTCTTTATTACATTTATCAGGACTTAAGGATGTTTTAGCTGAGTGGCGATCATGGGAGCTGTAACATTTTCTCTGTGTTGCAGCCGAAGTAGCAAGGCTGTTTGCTCCATACAACAACAACAACAACAACAACAACAACAACAACAACAACAACAACAACAAGGCTGATAAAGTTCCAAGCATTCAGCTTAAAGCAGACCTTCTTGCTTCAGGACTTGGAGAACAAAGGTGATCTTTTCAGGTGCGTCTGAAACAAGAACTTTGACAAAGCACTGAGTCCTGACATTAGTAGGAGTTGTATTTTTAATTTCATTTTATCGCCATTTGTGTTCACCTATTTTACATATTAGACTCAAACTTTAATGACGTGATTTTCTTGCTGTGTATTTGTTATCACAGCTTAGCTTTTGGTATTTGAGTTAATGTGCATTATGTATATTTACAGGAAATGACAACGATCCCATGGTTGTAACAAACAAACTGATGGAGGTGTTTCCAAAGCTGCAAGAAGGGGGAGGCTTTGAGTTTCTAAAAATTGCAGGATCTACTCGCAGTCGAAATCTTGGACTTCTTCAATGTCCCAGCACAGGATACACCCTTACCTATCTAAAAGATCCATCTCCAACAATTGGACAGGCTACAATTGACATACGCCCACTTCAACAGGACCTACCCATTGATTCAGTATGGAAATTTACACTGTCACCATTTGATACATAGTTCAAATAAATTGCACTGTGGAGTTTTAATCAATACTTAACAGATTTGTTGTTCTTAGGAAAGCTCGGGACATGCCTCTGGTCCAGAAGGAGGTTCCCTTCTCTGAAATGAAACTGCACCGAGCTAACTGGGATGGCTATGCACTTGTTAAAGATATATAAGAATTACATATTCATTTTTCAATAAGAAATGTCTTTTTAGTTTTTGTGCACACAGATGAGAGGAAATGACTATAACATTTTCTGAACTTCAAGGACCCCCATGCAGGAAACACATAGAGAAGGAGAGGGAGACCGTGGTGAGGAGAATGATAGAGAGCCACCCACTGACAGGGACAGCGTTCCAGTGAGGCCTGAAACATCTGTAGAGAGTGAAGTAGAACCAGTAGTGATTGAAAGTGAGAAGATTGATCTTAAAGAACTTGACAATGCTTTGTGTCATCACAGTAGGAATGCTATAATATTGTGCATGATTAGAACTCAGTCAATAGAAGAATAACACCTTTTAACCATAATAAATAACGACTAGAAGACATGCCATTATCACTGCTGTTTTATAGAACCTTAGAAACACTTCCTCATACAGTTCACAGACTCCACATCTAAGTGAAGCTTGGTTGACTTCAAACAGCAAATAAGCATCATTCTGATGAAAGTCAAGTAGAAATGGACTTTCCTAGTATCTATTAAAAGGCTGTTGGATTCTGTCACATTTTTCAGGTGTTCCTCCTTTTCTGTTGATTGGGAGTTTATCTGCATTTAACATGCAAAGTAGTTACATTTATTTTTCTTCTTGTCTAGACTGGAAGATTATTAAAGAACCAACTCTGGCTGCCCAAGTTTTCAAAGATAATCTACTAAGTGAACATGCAACCGGGAAGCCTCTTAAACTGAAATGGATGTAAGGGAGCGTGAGGAGGACAGGGAACGGGCACTTCTCTCATTCTATAAACAGCAACAGGAATGGGCATGTCCACTTCATTGTACCCTTGATGGTTAGTAGAATAGAGTTCATAATATAAATATATCCTGTTACATTAATATCAATTCTATGTCTTATATGGAATGGTATTAGTGGTTTACTGGTCCCATCAGGTCATTTGGCTGATATTAATCATTATATGATAATCTGCATTGGCTGTTCATGCTGTCTGCATAACAGTTCATGTGTTTGTCCTTCCTTCCTAAAACTTGTCAAGCACCTATAGCCTTGTTACAGCTTGTTTCTAGTGTGTTATTAACAGTATACAGTATTCTTTAAAAAAAAAAAGTTTTATAGGTGATGCTGCTGTTGGACAGGGAGTGATGCGGTACTTTCTGACAACAATAATATCCAAACTCCAGTTTGGATTCAGAATGAATCTTGGTAAATGTGCTACTATTCAGGTTAATGTCATGCATTTTAAAAGTTAATTGTTTGATTTGAAGCCCTGCTCTGTTGGTACTTACAGGAGGAGTGGGCCAAACTCTGCTATTTGAAGGTGAGCCTGACCATCTCGTTCCAGCTGCATCAGAGGTGCTTATTGAGAGCAACCTCTTCCGGGTTGCAGGAAGGATGATAGCCCACTCCTTTTTGCATGATGGCCCCCATGTCACCGGATTAAGTCCTGCTGTTATTCATGTACTGTTCAATGGGGACCCTGAAATGGCAACAATTGTTGTCGAGGACTGTCCTGATCTGCACATCAGGAGTATTATAACAATGGTATGTAACACACAAACAAAAAAACCTTTGCCTTGCAAAATTCCTGGACAGGTGTAATACCTTTTATGATCCAAACTGTAGCTTGAACTTGAAGAACTTACTCAGGAACAGAAGGACACAGTGTCAGATCTTTCCCTGTCTTGGGATCTCCCAGCAGTCACTAAAACGAATCAGAGGTGGCTACATAACAAACTTCTAGTACACGCGGTGAGTTTCTCCTGCTGATTTGGTGAATTCTCCTTCTGAAATTGAACTCATCCCCCATTTATCCATCAATTATGTTTCAAGCTAAGCAATTCTATCACGTCTGCATTTCTTTTGCACATCTGTATTTCAATCACAAACTAATTGGAACTGCAGGCAGGATTATTACAGAACCTAAACACTCTTTAACTTGTAATCTAGGCAGGGAGTGGTTTGGTGTTGCAGTATGAAAGGATATAATTGGGGAAAAATACATCTTAACCCTGTAAAGCCTGACACATGAAAAAATAACCAGGAAATTCTATTCTTTTGGAGTTGAGATGTTTATTAAACCCTTAAACAAAATCCCCAAATGTTTTTCTCATATCATGTTGTTTATGATATTTTTTTGTAGCACATTTGATACATCGGGCGTTTTGGCAATTTTTTGCACACATTTCAGGAAGCTTTTCTCGTTGTTTTTTTAACATAACACTTTTTACAGCCTTTTTATTTCATTTTGTGGTAGGCACAAAAACAGTTTCTGTCCTTGTTCAGGCAAAGATGCACCTTACACTTTCACAGTAGACATGTGAGAAGTGATTGCATCTCTGTCGGGTTTCCCATGTTGGAAAATGATCAATGCCATCCCTTCTCACATCAAGAGGCACACTGCAGCTTGGTCTTTTACGGGTGGTGTTGGAGTCTCTTCTGGAGAGGATAGTGGTCTGCCACACCTGATTTTGGCCTTTCCTGCCAACCAAAGCCTGAAACCTTCACAGAGGCACGGGTTTCTTCTTGGGGTTTAGCTTCTTCTGGTCTCTTCTGTAGAGGTTCCACGCATTGATGACTGCCACTGTAACAGTGTGCCACCAGATGTACATGTACCATCTTCGGGATCTGAAGCTGAACTTGTAAAGTGCAGACAGCATATCAAGGAGATCAACACCTCCCATGAACTTGTTATATGTTTCAACAATGGCTGGTCTGGGAACCGTTATGTGAGTTTTGGATTTGCGATCCCAGCGTTTCACATTTCCCACAGGTTCAGTGCCAACAAAAGAGGAAATCAGGTTCACTGCTTTGTTGTCGTACCATCTTACAACGATGTTGTTTTCCTGGTTCACTCTGAAGTCCATTGACCCTCTTCCATTTTTCTTCAATTCTTTTTCATCCATCATGGTGCAGTGTTTCATCCTGTTCATCCGGATCGTGCCAACGTAGTGGATTCCTCTTTCTTTTAGGTGTTGCACCAGGGGAACTGATGTGAAGTAGTTGTCTGCAAAGACCTTGTGATTTTTTCCTGCTGGAAGTGTTGATGTCATTTTCAGCACAACTTCTCCTGTAACACCTACTTCAGACTTTTCTCTGTCTGGATTTTCTGCACCTTGACAAATATCAAAGTCATAAAGAAAGCCACTTTGTCCAGCACGTCCCCACATTTTGAAACCCCATTTGTGAGGTTTTGCAGCATGTAGACACGTAGATGAGATTTTCCCTTAAATGGCACCATGATTTCATCAACTGCATGGCTTTCTTCAGGAGGTATGTAGAGAAACTGTTCTCACAGTTTTTGTAACCATGGCCTGAGCTTCCACAGTTTATCTTTCTTTGCATCATCAGACACACTGAGGTTGTCCTGAAAGTGAATCACTGTCAGCAATTTCAGAAACCGATCTCGAGACATCACATGACAAACTGCAGGAGCCTTGTCTCCATCTCCCAATAGGCTCTCACAGAGGACATCTGTACTAACCCCATATGAATGTACATGCCTAGAACCTGCTCTATTTCCTTGGCAGTTGTGTTTACTGACTTGCCCTCTTTTTGGACACTGTACAGGTTTGTTTGTTCTGCAGTTTCCTCTAGCATTTCATCAGTGACAAACTGTTTGAAATACATGTATGGTGTCCAGTCACACCTGTCTTCTGTGCCTTCCTCAACACTTGCAATGAAATTGATAGATGGAGCTGATCATTTATTTTTCTCCATCTGTATTCTTTCCTTTGTGCATTGGCCTTCACTGACTCCTTTCTGATTGTGTCCTGTGTTGTTGTTGGGATCTCAACGTCTGTGCTTGTCTGGGCCATTCTTCCTCATCCTCCTCATCATCTTCCCCTAACTGCTCTATGTCACTTGAATGCCATCCATTATCATGTTATGACATTTTCAATGTACGTTTTTTCTCACTTCTTCCTCTATTCTTTTTGACATC